AGCTGAAATTTTGAGTTATAATTTTAAATTATTAATTGGGATCAGTGAATCCTATACAAATGTTACAAACAAAATGAAAGACAAAATTGTTGCCCTTGAAGCACAATTAATGTCTATGGATATAAACATGGATATAAAGATTGATGTTTTAGCACAATCTCTTGATAATACCAGGTTAATACAAACATGATGATTAAAAAAGACATTGATGAAGGAAGCAGTAGTGGACCCAGAGGAGACGCCATTATCAAAAGTCCAAAGAAGCTAACAATTAATGGGAATCATACAAGGACTATCAGGATAAGGACAGATGGACCAGAGAATGCTACCCCTTTAACGCCAAAAGAAGAAGAATATAAACAATTTACAAAAATTGTTTATGAACTTAAATCAACAGATCTATATTATATATCTCCATGAGATCATATCTACCCAAGATTGATAATTATGAAAGGAACAGATCCATTAATGGTCAAGATAGCAACAGACTTTAGGAGCTTGTTTGGGAAGGATTAAAATCGGATTAAAATTGAAAAACTAGCCGTTATTATTGACTTTTATTAGACGAGTGAGACCCAATAACGGTTATATTTTCAATTTTAATTGGATTTTAAGCCTTACCAAACATATTCACAATGTGTGGTAATCAAATGATTTATANTTTTGGAAAAAAAATTGCTACATAAGCAAAATAAGCCAATGTTAGAAAAAAATTCTCTGCAGTACAATTTAAGAGCGTGTTTGGTAGAGATTAAAATCGGATTAAAATTGAAAAACTAGCCGTTATTATTGACTTTTATTAGACGAGTGGGACCCAATAACGGCTATATTTTCAATTTTAATTGGATTAAAATCATTCACAAACAAGCCCTAGATATATCGATCTAATCTATCCAGATACAACATTAAAAGAAATTTAGAAATTTGATGATATCTTAAAAGGTCAAGTTTCACAATTTGCACAGAATAAACCGTATATATATGAAATTCTACTCCATAAGTCCAGAAGTTGAAGATGGAATATATTATCCAGCAGAACCTATAATTACAATCGGATATGTTGAAAGAAATTTCCAAATGGATGTAGGAGAAGGAGAAAAACCAATTCCAAATTACTCCAGAGCATGGATACAAAACAGGAGAGTACTAGAATACAAAGTTCTATACAATATGTCAAAAAATTTGTATGAACGAAATTTTCGATACTTATGCCAGTACAATGGATGGACACTTTTAGGAAATGATGGTAAACAAGAATCAGAAATTTTAAAGGAATATATCAATAAATTTGATGTACATCAGATAAATGGCAGCATCTCAACCATCAAAAGAGCATGCGAAGCTAGATGATGTCCCACTAGACAATAAGAGAAAAAAGGAGATTCCATAGAGATAACAAGGATGTGATTTAAAGGAGACAGCTGCATGTAAAGACAATTTCAACAGGACAATAATGGAAGGGTATTACCCTTTAAAAAAGATGTGATATAAAATAGTTGCATGTGAAGATTATAATGAAGGGGCCGATAGGCTCTTGATAGAAAAATCACAAATTATTGAGTGCTATATGATGTATGGAATGATGTAAGAGACCAATAATCTTACCTCAATTAGATGTATAAATAGAGGCCTTTGGGTTAGAAGGAAGATAGAACGAATTTGAGCACTAAGTCTGTGAGAAAGCCAAAAATATTTCTGTTAATCTTGTATCAATTTCAAATATATCAATTTGAATAGATCATTCACATTCTAATCCTCTCAAATGGAAATGAGTTTCTAAATTTATCTTCCCATAGATTCTTAAAAGTCTGATAGAGAATTTCTTTCTTACTTTAGCAGTAAAAAAAGTTTTTTCTTTAACAGAAGTTTAGAAATTTAATTCTTAGAATCAATACAGAGAGAACAATGAGCTGGAATATCAAGAATCCCATGAAGGCAAAAAGCCGTTGGAGGGGGTAATTTGCACATCCAGAGCTTGAAGGTCACTTGAATCTAAGGTTAGAAATCCAAACCAAAACTAAAGTAAAACTACTTATTTTCTGCTAAATTTAGAAAGAACTCTCTTAAGATT